TATTTTATACAACACTAGCAGCAAATCATTTGTTTAATGAAGAAGTCCAGAAAAAGACTCGTGGTTTATAAGCATTCACTTCATCTCAGTGTGAAATTTTGTTCTTTTCTGTTTCAACATTTATGTGTTTACTGTGCTCATCTCATGTGCCTGTTCACATCAGACACGCATCAAGTGGAGGTGAAGAAAAACTGGTTAAAAGACCTGACTGGTCAGTTTTCGAGACCTCTCTCTCTAATTGAACAAAAACAAAGTACGGACCAGAGTGTGGACCAGCGTTTTCTATTGGAGATGCAGCAAGAAAGTGAGAGGCTGCATGCAAATGGATGAGGGAAAAGCAGGGTCAAATTTGTATAGTCACAAATTTGCATACATTAAATATAACAAAGGTATAGTTGTAAAGCATTTAAGTGACTTTAAGGCATGTTTGGATTATTTTTTATTATCGCCTTGAGAAGGATTAAATGGTGATACCTGTATGTATCACGGTCTGTCAAAACGACCAACATGGTCTGTCAAGTTCCTTCACTGACTGAAATTTTTCTCTGCGTCCATTTTATATCCTTTGGCATAAAATGGTTCAGCGTGCAAACTACTGCAATCACTACTTGCAAGACTGCTTGACATCTGGCCATCAAGCCAATAGCCTTTATTAATATAATCTGGTGGTGAGGACAGTCAGTCATCGTTCAGCATCAGTCAGAGGATGGCATAAAAACAGTTGTTTCAGTAGGAAATGGGCAAAGACAGCACTATCAAAACAGATAGTTTCATACAAGAAACCTGTGATTAATTCATACCTACCCACCTAACCAGACTAAGAGAAATGGTTTTATTGTTGGTAGGCATTAAGGAGTTTTTCCTTTCATAATTGATCCATGTTCCAAGTCCAGCAGAGATTTAGTTGGAGTTAATGACCCTCAAACCTGCTGTATTATTAAAATAAGTTCAGCTGCTCCTCAAAGATAAATTCTTAGAGGTTAATGTTATTTGACTGTATGTGGGGTGAGACTAACTCCGTTAAGATCAAGATCTTGAAGCATTGGGTAATAGCGTAAAAACAAAGAAATGAACAAACAAACAAACAAAATCATGTTTCCAATACTCAAAAATTGGCCAGTTTGCTACAGTTGCTGTCGGCTTACCTTGTCTCCCACTTTGATATTCCTCTTCCCACTTGGACTTTAAGTCCCACCAGCAGCCAACAGTCACGCATAGTCAATTCGAACTTTTCTTCCAAGTGAGGTGCTAGAAAGCCTATTTTAGCTTGTAGCTTTAGCTTCTTAGAGTCAGGAGGACTTAAATGTTACTTTTAGGTTTATTTAAAATAAATAAATAAATTGTGATTAAACATGAGACTCACTCTTTTGTATTATTGTCTATACTTTCATGAAAACTATTTACTTTTTTACTTGGTTATATGTTAAAATTCACACCCACTCCAACCCATATTTTTCATATTTTTTTGTCATTGAAGCACTGATGAATGATTAACTCGTGATTTTTGTAATAAGTAAAAGTTACACAATTACTAATAAATTTGCCCAGCACACATTCTGAAAAGCACAGCGTGAATACTGAAACAGAGAAAGGATAACAGGAATATTTCCCTCTACACACACCACAATAATTAAAAGATTGTATGATTCCCATTTTATTGGAATAAGTTATATGATACAGTACAAGATTATTGAGTTAAGGTGCAAGCATATTTCAAGACAGAAAGAAGAATTTAAGATAAGCACTGCTGAATGTAAGGCCTACCAGTAGAGGAGCCTATCTGAATTGTGGACATGCAGATTTTTTGGATGCAGAGAGTAAATAGTCTGACATTCATTTAAAACAGAAATACGAGAATTTCTCTAGTAAGACTGACAAAGGTCGGTATATGATCTCTACTGATTATGCCTCAAACTATTCCCCTTCCCATGAAAGTTTAACATGTATTCTTTGACTATACAAGATTATAATATATTCCTACCCTGACAACATGTTTATCCCCATGCTGGTACCTACAGCTGCCCTTTCCCTGTGTGTAGGATACCTCATGAAAAATGGTAAAAGCATTCTCACTGACTGTAGTGCTCAGTCTGGTTTAGGCAAAGACTACCTGAGCAGAACATGCAGAAGGTGGGTCATCCACAGGTTTCTTATGAATTTAAACTATATAGAATAGACCTTGCTATATTCTCACATGGTCACAATAGGGTCTTATATTAAGAACGTAACACATAGAAGAGCATTTGGTCTGATTTGACCACATTGGATCTTTTCATTCTCACACAGCTACAGGAAGTAATGCATATAAAAGCTCAAATACATCCTCTGTGTGTGACAATGGCTTTAGATTAGTCCGTTTTAACAAACACTTACAGTTGCAGGGGTAAACAAACAGAACAGCTCCCCTTTTAACTGCAATAAGGATCAATGTGCTGGCTTTCAGGGGAATTATTCACAAAAATGGAAAAATAATATGCATAATTAGCTTTCATAAGTGCATGTTAACCTGCAATAACTGTGTTTTTGTCCTGTCATATTTAGACAGGAAAGAGGTCCATCTTTATTGAGACCACCATGTTTTGCAAAAGCCTACAATTAAGCAAAGGATAGATGTGTATAAACGATAAAATGCATTCAGAAGCATAAAGGTGAGTAGTTTGTATTTAAGTAGTTTGTATTTACAAATTTTACCTAAGAAGCTTAATTCTATCTGATCAACACATGTGTAACACAACCACAGTGACAATGACGCAGTTACCAAAGATATAACTTCTGTCTCACCCACAGACCGCAGAGAACAAATGCTATTTTAAAGTTTTTCTAGAGCCAAAAACAAACTTTTATTACTTATCAGAAAACCTGCTCAACAATAATGAATATATACATAAGTGATCTTTTTGACTCCCCCCTTCCATACTGGTATGTTTTATACAGCCACAGTGCACATGTTAAACTAATATGACTAGTGCAAGCTAAAAGAAAGTCCCTATGCAGAAAAACCGCCACATTCTTGTAAACCTTACTGTGGGCTGAAGGTAGCCGGCCCTGCTCTCTCTCAGCAGAGAAAGCAAGTGGTTCCCAGTGAAATGATTTTAGCAAAGGTAATAATATGGTAAAGGTAATAATCACTAAAAATGCTATTATAACAGTTTTCCCCCTGCATTTATGTTTTTAAATTATATGCCACCAAATGAATAGATCTGTTATGTGTGCCAGTTATAACTTATTTTGTAGAATTATCAAATTGTATTTTTATGGGTATGGCTTTGACGTTCCCAAAAAAGGCCAGTTTGGAGACTAAAGCAGAGGTCCCCAACCTTTTTTGTGCCACGGACCTGTTTATGTCCGACAATATTTTCACATAAGGTGTCGGGGATAAATACAACAAAATAAAACCAGTATCAGAAAAAAAAGAAAAAAAAAGAGGATTTATTCATAACACACGTGAAAAGACCCAGGGAAACCGAGTTAACGATAAAAATAAAATAATGATAAAAACCATAAATTTCATACCCGCGCCTCAACTCCCACGGCCCAGTACCAAACAACTCATGGACTGGTACCAGTTCATGGCCCGGGGGTTGGGGACCGCTGTTCTAAAGTATCTATGGATAACTTGACAAAAAACTTTTTGCATAAGAATCAGAATGGTAACTAAAGCTTACAGAGGCCTGAAGCATAACTCAAGCATACACACATTACACTGCTTTTTCACCTTCATGAAACAAAACTGTGCATATAAAAAGAGTAAAAACCATGGTAACTGTAGGATGCAGATGCCTGAAGCATAAACACATGATAATGTTTATTCCCTTCTCGAGGCTCAACTTTGTGCATGCAAGATTTAAAACAAGGGCTAAACTGTAAAGTGTAAGCTTATCTACAAATTTATTTTAAACACAACTAACAAGTTGCATTTACATTTATTTCTTTTACAGGTTATTGGCAAAATGTATGCCAGAGTAGCAGTCTCACCACTGAGAATAAAGCTGATAAGCACTTTTTCCCTGGTATTTGTGCATGGTACCATCTGACCTTCAGCCCACCAGTTGTGATTTTACCAGAAATAAGCCCAAGTCTGTGATGTACTCCAGCGTGTTTATGTTGGACATATTTTGCTTTCACTGTCCATTTCCTCACCATTTACATTCCTGAAGTGCTCAAAAACTGCACTTTACATTCTGCACATAGACACAATCACCACTGGAAGGTAATTATCTTGTGTTGTGTATTGTTATTGTATATTTGCTACACCACAACACTACAGTAAACCTGAAGGACACAGCCAGTGTTTTCTAAACCAGTTTTCAATGCCAGCTGGTTCTTGGTCTCCCTTGTGCTGCCAAACAATCAAACAACCGAAATTGTCCTCAATCCGGTTATTTAAGAAAAACATTTCATACATTTTTTAATCACACCCCTAAAGATCTTTAAGTGCTCCTTAAAAAAGTATGTTTTGACCTACAGACAATGTAGCAATGCACAGCAACATACTAATTCTTAGTTTTTTCTCTCATCATCTTGATATTTTAACAAATATTTTAATTTTATCTTTTTTTCCATTTCCTTTCCTCCTTCCTCTTACACCTGTGTGCAGTAGCAGGGGCAGCGATGATGTCGGCATTCTCCCAACATCAGCTGGTTGCATTACACAACTCCACCCAGCCAGTTGTATCCCATTCTCATGGTGAAAGTCATTATAAATGCTTTAACACACTGAGCAGAACTTAGAAATAAAAGAAATGTGAAACATGTTTCTTTAATATTCTGCCTTCTCTTAAATAATTTATTAAATCTTCAACGCAGTGATGTGACTTTTTAAAAAGACGACAGAGGATGATTCAGATAGGCTCCACTACTCATTGTTCAACAAAAATTTATTAGCTTTACAGCTTTCACAAGAAAGATTGTTAAGTCTTTCTTTAAGACCATTAAACCCATAAAAAAAAAAGAACACTTGTAGTATTAAAAAGGTGTTTAAGGACTGCAATTAGCATTACCTGAACATGAGCAGAGACGATTCCATCTGGTACACTTTCCAACATTCCATTAACAGCTGCCTGATTGTTGATGTCTTTGGTAATATTCCACTCTGCAAACAAACAAAAAAAGTACAAAGTTTGTATATTCTTGCAGCAGGTGAATTTTGCTGAAACTCAAATAATGGCTAATTGTTTACCTGGATTTAGTGTTTCTACATCCAGCATACCACCTTCGCAATAGCTCTGCAACTCCTCAACTTTGACTTTATTCCAGGGGATGTAGGTAACTCCCCGCTCCACATCCCAGAACTTTTTGTGAGCAGGTTTTATACCTTTATTCAAGGCCCAAGCAATCTAGGGAAGAATGATGTTTGGTATAATCATTAAGTTATCAAATAACACTAACAAAAAAAAAAAAAAAAAAACTACTACAAAACTAATACACAAATGGAAATTAAAAACATTGCATACCTTAACTGGTTTCTGATTGACTTTGTATGACCCCCTACTGAGTTTGTTCAAGGCTGTGTAGGCATCTTGCCTGTGAACCATAACAATATAGGCACAACCCCTTGGAGGAATCATCTGGACACAAAAGGTGAAATGCATTAAGATCATTGAAGCTTGTGTAAATCAATAATGTTTATAAGCATCTCTGACATGAATTGTCCAAACTTACATTGATGGACTCAATCTGCCCAAACTCTTCCAAAAGAGACATTACATCAGACTGCTGGGTTTTCTTGTCTAACTGTCCAACCCAAAGTGTAGTACTGCAAACTATAAGCAAAAAGACAGAATAACAAATTACATTAAGGATCAAGGCTTTTAGATTTTTTTTAAGCAAGAGTTCACACTTAGCTCTAAAATGTATTAACTTAAATAACTCATGACTGCTGAAGCCTCAGATTTTGTAAAGATGAATTTATACAAAATAAATTATTCTAAGGGCGATCGTGGCTCAAGAGTTGGGAGTTCGCCTTGTAATCGGAAGGTTGCCGGTTCGAGCCCCGGCTTGGACAGTCTCGTTCGTTGTGTCCTTGGGCGAGACACTTCACCCATTGCCTACTGGTGGTGGTCAGAGGGCCCGGTGGCGCCAGTGTTCGGCAGCCTCGCCTCTGTCAGTGCGCCCCAGGGTGGCTGTGGCTACAATGTAGCTTGCCATCACCAGTGTGTGAATGGGTGGATGACTGGATATGTAAAGCGCTTTGGGGTCCTTAAGGACTAGTAAAGCGCTATATAAATACAGGCCATTTATCATTTAAGAAAATTACAATACATACCCTAGTAAGCCACTACTATATAAAGAAATTCATTAGGTGTTCTGATGTACAAGAAAATAATCCCTATTACAAAATACACTTCACCAAAATAAATGAATAAGTAAAAAAAATATCCCACTGAGCTCATAAAATAATCAAAATGTCACCTTAAACTTTCACTTTGTCTGCAGTGAATATAAAGCTTTATGGAGTTTAAAGAGGCTACACATTTGAATCTCTTAAATTAAATCGGCTTCTCTCTTTTGGTTTAGACAAGTTGATACAGTAGCTGCAAGTGAAACTCAGTAGTGATTCCTGGAGCTTTATGCACGCCATCATCTGTGACATTTAGTCGTGTTTATTGGTTTGAGTACATACCACTGAGCGTCTGACTCTTTATGCTGGAAAGACCTTTTTGTCTGCGCTCTCTGTCCTTCTCTCTTTCACTCCTATCCTGAGAATGAGATCTCCAGCGCTGTTCTCGGGAGAGAGAACGCCTTGACCTTCTTGAGCGAGATGAAGATCTTGATCTTCTTCTCCTTGGAGATCTGAAATACAAAAGAATAAAACCAGTGAACACTGTTTCAAAAATAATCCAATTGAAAACAACTCTTTTCAGATGGAAAGAAATGACAAGATGACCAGAGTGTTTTGGGACTTCACTGCTTGTAATTTGTGCTCAATAATGCATTGAGGTTATTAAATACTTTCCTGGTCCACTATAATGTGAAAAATATCTACCTTTATTTAGAATTTTAGTAACTGTAACACATGTTTAAAGGAGTGATACAGCAATGGTTTTCTGATTTTGGCAGGGATAGCCTGAAGTTAGTGTTGACCTTGTTTCCTACACAAAAAGACTTTTCCATAGGCTTTCTCACCATCTCCAAAAATAACAGTCTATGGCTTTGGATGTAAAATACTGATGTTAGGCTATATAAACCACCGTCTCATGAATCATGACTCGTATACATGTAAAACAAGACAGATTTGGAGTATTCTATGGACTCTGACCCAAACACAATTATATTTTGACACAAGATGTAGCATTTTTTTCAAGGAATCAGAAAAACTATTCAGAGGTAGCCAAGAGAAAATTCTTTCTACTTCACCCCAAATATTTTTGTCTAAACCTTGGCATTGACCAGAAAAATCAGGCAAATAAATTCACTGACTTTGAAATGAGGGCACCTGCAGCATAAAAACACCATCTTTCAGTTTTAGGGCTTTATTCTTGTGTCACTCTATGAACACTGAAATACATAACTCTCAAAAATCAATTTGCACAATTTTAACTGATGAGCAAAGTGGTTACCTGGAACTAGGGGTGGGCGGGATAAACGGTATATGGTAGAAACTATATAAATTTGGCCAACGGTAGAAATTTTGACCATACCGCATGTTGATGGTGGCATCAAGCTGCGCCTCTTTTGGTCGAAAGCATTGCAGCGGTTGCAAATTATGCAAGATGACAGTAAAAGGTGAAGAGGTGAATCAGTTTTGGAATATAGGGAAAGCCAAAAACTGCGCTGCCTCCACTTCCGTACCATTGATTCGTATTGTGGATGGATTATCTCAGTTGTTCTCCTAACTGAAGTTTGGTCCGTTTATAGCACCCTGCCATGTGATTGCATTTGTCCTTAGCCACCAGAAACCCTCACGTTAACTTTTATCGAGTGGAAAAGGGTAAGCTTCACTGTGCTAATGTTATGCTAACATAGTTGTTTTGCTAGCGATCACGTAGGACATCATTATATACCAGCTAGTCCAACTTCAGTAACCCTACAAAAGCCATTGCTGTTTAGTTTTCTGTCTTCATTTATGTTGGAAGTGATAGCAGAGTTGTATGTTTCAATTTTTTCAGAAATCTCTCGGTCAGAACATGGTATATCGTGTTTAGGTGGAAACTAACTTCCTGATAACTTCTAACTCTGTTGAATTTAATAAATTCTGTTTTCATGGATGCCAGATGAAGAGTTTAGACAGCTTTTAACTCTCAGTGATGCCGCAGTGTTCGTTTGACTTTGGGACCTGAAGCAGATGGCGTTTTGGACCCAGAATACTCCGCGCAGGGCTCGCAAAATTTCAAAATCCCTGGTAGCCCTTCGGGCAGGGACTCTTCAGTCTTTGGTAGCCCAAAATAAATTTAAGTAGCCCGAATAAAAAAGAGAACAATTTTTTTGATTGATGTTAATCAAAAAATTGTTGAAACACAAATTACAACATTGTATAAAAATTACAATCATCAACT